GAATTTCTTTTTGATATCGAAGCTTACAAAAAACAATATAAAATTGAAGAAAGGTATATTCTCAGCCAGTTTAGGGAGCGTCGAAAGAAAATAGAGGAAGACTATCCACCTTGTAGCAAGAGAAGATACCATAAAAGATATCATGCAGCGGCAAATCAAAGATTGATTGAAGACTACTTTTCCAGTCAACCTACATATGACGATGCAATGTTTCGTCGGCAATTTCGGATGCGGAAACATGTTTTTCTCCGAATCGTAAGAGACCTATCAAGAAGTGACGATTACTTCACTCAACGATTTGACGCTGCTAATAAAGAAGGTATATCTCCATTAGCGAAATGTACCACAGCCATGCGGATGTTAGCATATGGTATGGCGGCCGACGCGGTTGATGAATACATCAAAATTGGAGGTACAACAGCTTTGGAGTGCTTGCGTAGGTTCTGTAAGGGAATCATACAACTGTACGAGCAAGTGTATCTCAGAGCCCCAACAGAAGATGACCTGCAAAGAATTTTGCATGATAGTGAAATGCGAGGGTTCCCGAGAATGATTGGGAGTATTGATTGCATGCACTGGGAATGGAAAAATTGTCCTAAAGCGTGGGAAGGACAATATACTCGGGAGACAAGGGAACTACCACTATTATTCTTGAAGCGGTCGCAACCCATGATCTATGGATCTGGCATGCCTTTTTGGATGTCCAGGCACATTGAACGATATCAACGTTCTAGATCGGTCACCAGTGTTTGATGATGTCGAACAAGGAAATACTCCAAGAGTGAACTTCTTCGTGAACTAGCGACCTTGCAATATGGCGTATTATCTAGCTGACGGTATCTATCCTTCTTATCCTACTTTCGTCAAATCGATTAGGCTTCCTCAAAGTGAACCAGACAAGTTATTTGCACAAGTTCAGGAGGGATGTCGGAAAGACATTGAACGTGCATTCGGAGTGCTGCAAGCTCGATTTAAAATCATTCGCGAACTAGCACGCTTGTGGGATATTTTCGATTTAGCTATCATAATGAGGTCATGTATCATATTGCATAATATGATTGTTGAGGATGAACGAGATACATATGCTCAACACTAGACCGATTATGATCAATCTGAGGCAAGTGGATCTAATGCACCGCAACCATTCTCAACCGAAGTGCTACATGCATTTGCAAATCACGTGCGTGACAGATCTGAGTTACGGGATTCAAATGTGCATCACGAATTGCAAGCAGATCTTGTAAAACACATATGGCAAAAATTCGGAATGTTTCGTGGTTAAAAATATTTCTAAGTTTATTAAAGCTTATTGTACTAATTATGTTATGTGTGTTTTGTTATTTTTGTTGTGTGCTTATTCATGTATTTTTATTAAATTTTAAGTTTTGTAATTTTTTTTTTTTAATAATCTCTATATTTCGTATTTTTAGTAATTGATTCTTTATTAAAATTATAAAATTAAATTAAAATTATTTTATCATTTATATAGTTCTTAATTATGATAATTTAAATAATTATTATTAATACGTAATTATAAAATAAAAAATACATAACAAAATAAAAATAAAAGTGGTAGGGTAAGATGTTGAATTTATTAAACAAACCATTGTAAGGTAAAAAAGATGAATGAGTGTTGAATTGTGATGTGGAAGAAAGAGAAATTGATGTGGAAGAAAGAGAAGATGATGTGTAGGGTGTTGTGTGTTAAAACTATTGTATATAGTCTTAGTTCTTTATCTTGGATTTTGACTCCTATCCTTTATTATAGTTTAGCTCTCACGTGACTGTTGTTCAAAAAAAAAAAACAAAAAAAAAACTCTCACGTGATGTCCTTTCTCTCATACCAATTTAGATAGAAAATTAATTTATCTATTAGATTTTATGATAATAATACAATTATTTTATTTTGAATTTTTTATAGATTATAAAACAATTAATTCCACAATCTTTTTAAGAAAACAACTATCCATTTGACTTATTATATGTAAAGAACTATTAACTTTAAGACAATGGTTTCAGATTTAGAGTTAATTAATAACTTTTTTGAAACTATTTTAAGAGATAGTAATACATAATAGATTAAAAAACGTTTCTACGAAAATAAGACCACAATAAAAAGTTATCAAAAATAATTGTTAGGAAAAATATAATAAAATACATAAATAAAAACATAAAAATGAATATTTTTGTATATAAAAGAGATATGTTAAGTTATTCCAACTAAATAAATATAAAATGTATTTTAAACATTTATATCAAGGATTCTGAAAAACTATAAACATATATCCACAATTGTATCAAATAAAATATATAGCTATATAGTCGAATAAAAGACACGATATATATAAAACAATATAAGAAAATGCATAAAACTAGGTAACTTCAAATTGAACAAATAAATCAACAATTCTACACCATCAAAATAAAAAGAGAATAAAAAATCAAAATAAAATCTTACTAATCGTAAGAAAAATTTAATTTATTGTAATGAGATTGAAACTGAATAAAAATAATAATAACCAATAAAATAATTATTCATATTAATACAGAATAAAAAATTTTAAAATAAAAATAAATATCAAAGAAAAATAAAAATATTTATTTTAACTATTTAAATTATTTTTTAAATCATCCATAATTAACTCAAATCTAACATGGTATGAGTCAATCCACATGCCATTAATCCGGTCTGAAAAATAAGCGATCATCCCATTTGTATTATTAGAATATAATCATTTTAAAAATCTTCTACAGAAATATAAGCTTTATATCATAATATTATATTGTTATTACAAGAATTCAAAATTATTTACTTATAAAAATGAAAACAAACACATGCTCGGGTGTATTGATATAATTGTAATCTTAATTTATCCAAAATCCAAAACTATAACCAAACCCAAACCCAAAATTTATAAATATATGTAATACTGAAATATATCTGAAATACACAAATATACCTAATATAAATAAAATATTTTGGGTACTATGTGTATGCAACGGGTCTTGGGTAGGATCCGGATTCGAACAAAGACATACATGTCCAGAAAATACTTAATTGGTACTTTACCCTAGGTCCAAAGCTGAACCCAATCTTTATTGGTAAATTTGCCTTAGACCCAAAGTTTTTATTCGGTTTTGTGTTGGTTTCGATTTGGATTTTTTTTTTGTTTTGATAAATTGTCTATATTTAAGAGAAAATTACAAAAAATTGTACATATAAATTCTCATATAAAATAATTCATAAATTATTATTTTTTTTTAAAAAAAATTACCTTCTTCGATGTAATACAACTTTGTAATATAATAATGTACAAAAATTAAAAAATACTAATTCATTTCAAAATTTGTTTATAATTCAAAAATCATGCGCTTTCGAAGCGCGTATCAAAATTAACTTCATTAGATTATTTTTTTTTAGTTTTTCCTTATATTTCTCTAACTATAATTTAAATTAACTTCATTTATTACTTTCCATAATCTATTATATAATTACTCTAACAATAAATCTCTTTGATACTTTAATATATTTAATATATTTACATAAATTGGAAATTAAAAAGCTTTAATGTCAATTATTCAACTATGAAACATTGATTTAATTAATTAGATGCAATCAATTATTAAAATTTGATATTACATTTTTATACATGAACTAAATGATTAATCATATATATATATATAAAATGATTCTAAACGGGTTGGAATTTTAATAGTTTAGATGTTTATTTATTTTAAAAATTCTAACAATCCATATGATATGTTTTTATTTAATTTTAAATATAAAATATCCTACAATTTAAATATCAGATAATGAATATTTTTAATATTTTGAATAGAAAATATACGTGTAATTTATTTTTTTCCGAATTTGGTTTATAAATAGTATTTTAGGATAGTTAGTATTAATTATTATATATAATTAATATTTGTAGGTATATAATTTATATTTAAAATTTTTAAATACCCATTTGCTTCTTGGTTCGGTTTCTATTTTTCGGCTCCAAAGATATATGATATAGTCGATTATTTATGAAATTTGGTTTAATTTTGTTTTTGTTTTTTTTCAGTTTGATATGGTTCGGTTCACTTGGATAAATGTATCTAAACATATACACTATCTTACATAAAAGTTCATTTAGAAGAATTTGTTTCATTTCAAAAATAAATCGGCATTTTTCAAACACGGATCAAAATCTAATCACATATTAAAAATATGAGTGAGAAGTTTGTACAGTCGTAAGAGACGGGGGAAGAAGATGAAAACGAAAGACAAATTTTCAGATATCTTATGGACCCATAGGCCCATTTATTATTATCTCAATTGTACGAAGATGGAAATGGAACCCGAAATGCTGTGAAGCCAACCACACCTTATATATCTTATTTTCATTTAGTTAGCGACTTTATTGCCACTCTGCGCCGTTAGATTGATCCTTTGAGGCTTCTATAAATATCTAAAAACATGATCCAACGGCTAAGATATCATATTGAGTGTCAACACTTGTACATAACTCATCACCGAATCTCTCTCCTCTTTTCTATCTCCAGCTGGCCGAACCCACCGGCTGTGCCCGCTTTCTCTCTTGGGCAAACACATGGAGCTTGGTAAGTGAGTGGTAAATTACGAAAAGCCCCACCAAGTTACCTTGCTTGGACCTTCTTAATCCACGTGATTCATCTTACGTGCCTAGTTTGGTAATTCGTGCTTAATCGCCTACGACGCGCGTATTGTTAAAACCGTGCTCTCGTGACGTGTTATAACGAGACTGGTTGCACCAAATATCTTAAGCGTTAGTCGGTCGGAGATATTAAGAAGATCAAAAATATCTAGCTAACTCGTCCACGTTGGCGCAAACACAAAGCCATCTGGAATTAGACATTGCGCTTTTTCTCTTATCTTTTGCTTTTCATTTTCTTCTCTCTTTTGAAAATAGCTCATCGTCACAAACCAAACTTGTCCACGATTCTTTCTCTCCGATCTCTGATTCGAAATCTAAATGGGAGAGGAAGTGAGGATGAGCGATTACGATGTTTCGGGCGAAGGAGATAGGGTTCTCGAATGGGAGATGGGGCTACCTAGCGACGACGATTTGACATCGCTTTCTTACTCTCTGATTCCTCCGAATCTCGCCATGGCTTTCAGCATAACTCCGGAGAAGAGCCGTACGATCGAAGATGTGAATCGCGCATCGGAGACGACGTTCTCGTCCCTGCGCAGCGGATCCTCCGGTCTCAACACCTCTTCCTCGAACAACAACAGCGTCGCGGTGGAGGAGGAAGATCGAGTCGGATCGAGCAGCCCCGGATCGGATTCGAAGAAACAGAAGACATCCGGCGATCTCTCCACGGCGGCGGCGGAGGAAGGAGATTCGGGAACTGAAGACCCTACTGGGAAGACGCTGAAACGACCGCGTTTAGTGTGGACGCCGCAGCTGCACAAGAGATTCGTGGACGTTGTGGCTCACTTAGGGATAAAGAACGCAGTGCCGAAGACGATTATGCAGCTGATGAACGTGGAAGGATTGACTCGAGAGAACGTCGCGTCTCACCTCCAGAAGTACAGGCTGTACCTCAAACGGATGCAGGGATTGACGACGGAAGGTCCTTCTTCTTCCGATAAGCTCTTCTCCTCGACGCCTGTGCCTCCACAGAGCTTCCAAGAACTCGGAGGCGGTGGTAACGGTAACGGTAACGGCCAGGGGAATGTGTCGGCGGGAGTGCCGGTTCCGGTGCCGTATGGAGCGCCGCCGATAATGCAGATGCCTGTCTATGCGCATCATATGGGTATGCAAGGATATCATCACCAGAGTCACGGTCATGATCCTTATCATCATGGAACGGGAGGACCTGGAGGGTTTGAAGCAAATCCATACATGATGTAGCAGAACAAGTTCGGATCCATGGCGTCTTATCCTTCTGTTGGGGGTGGAAGTGCCAATGAGAATTAAAATGAATCCAATTGGTGAGCTTGTTTTGCTCGTGGAACTGATAATAATTAGTCAAAGTTCTCTGTCTTTTGAGTACAGTTAATAATATTCTTACACGATTTGATTAAGTTTTACAAGTTTCTTGTCTTTGCTATATATGTATACAATAAAGTCTTGAGCTTTTTAATCATTTGTTCTATGCATTTTACATTTTGACTGCTAATCTTTTGTGACTTTGAGATGTAATATAATCCAAATTGGAGTCAATTCACCTTCGGAAGCATAAGTTGTTCTTGATAACGTTGTGTCTATGAGCAAAGTAAAAAACACTGGATGCCTGTGGCAGATTTTTTTATCTCTTAGGACAAGAGTGAGTGATATGTGACATCGACTTGCTAGTATTTTGTGTGCTTAATGCTCTATGTACTGCTGCACAAGTACTCTATTTCGAGTTTATTAATAGAAAGATACCAGCATAGTGACAGTTTCATTATATGGTTTTGGTAAATACATGTTATATTTCTATTTACCTAAAAATATCCTGCTTGTAAATGTTTTTAATTCCAATAGAGATGCTATTTGCTAATACTCGAGTGAGTTTATTATTCTTCAGGTTTAGTTATACCGTTTTTGAATCCTCTGCATCTTCTCAGGTCTTGATCGTACTTGGATTTTTGTTACAGGTTCTTGACTTGTGTCCGCATCAATATGTCCTCATTGCATCTACATAGGAGAGATCAAACCACATATCATGTCGAAGCTAGACCAATGAGTATTCTTGGAACACAATGCGTACTTGGAGACTTCTGTCAAGTTTCGTTAACTCAATTTCTAGATTGTGAGGTAAGTCTCTCATGTCTTGTTTCTTTGCTTTGTTAAGGGTTTGTTTCTTTAAGATGGCGTCAGACACAATCTACATGTTTACTTTTCAATATGCGAACCGGTTTAATCTTTTAAAAAGAGAGGTCATTTTTATCCAATCAAATACTCTCTCATATGACGGCCTTTTCTTTTCTGTAAAGTGATAACCTTTCATTGGACTGGAAAGCCACGTACCAATGAAATTTCAACACAAGGGAGAAAGTAACATTCCAACAAAAGCTAAAACTCTTTTTTAATCTTTCTTGCTGACATGAGTTATTGGTTTTAGCTACGTATGGTTCTACTTTGAAATCTATATAATAACTTAAGACCTTTTCGTCTCCAGTATACGATCATACTTCTAGTTTTATCTAATTAAAAAAAAAAGAATTTTATTAATATACTATTCTCTGGACATTACACATTCATTGACAATCTTATCCTCATATCACTTGTGTCACCCATTTGATTTTATCCTTGAAAAGTAAGATTCTCAAATTACAAAGATTTCTTGATATCCACCCAACCGATTCATCCGATATCAACCTTAACCTTATGTTTTCACTGGCAAGTTATGGTAAAGTAAATAGAGTCCTCAAGAAGTGTTCAAACTCCTCTAGCGAGTTGTGTGAAGAACCGCCACTTCTAACTGAACCTCGTAGTTTCTCCTTCACAGTGACGGCTCTCTTCCTCATATCCTCTCCTTCTTCGCCCACCAGTAACCTCCTCACAGCTCTCTCTACCGCTCCTCTGTCTAGATCACCTTCTACTTGAATCCCTATTTTCCAAACACACTCCAAGTACCTAGCGTTCACCTTTTGATCGCCGGTAAACGGTTTGCAGATCATTGGAACTCCTTCCCCGAGGCTTTCTAGTGTCAAATTCCATCCACAATGGCTCCAAAACCCTCCTACTGCAGGATGAGCAAGCACTTCTTTCTGTGGTGCCCATTTTACTATGTAACCTCTATTCGAAACCATCTCACTGAACTCTTCAGGTAAGGACTCTAGCCACTCCGAACCGCGTATTGACCCTGGCCTGATCACCCATAAGAAGTTTTGGTTACTAGCAGGCAATCCCGAAACCATTTCCGTCACCTCATTGATTTCCATCAGAGCTAAGCTTCCCAAACTTCAGAATATCACACTGTTTTGCTTTTGCTTGTTCAACCACTCGATGCAGCTCTTATTCTCTTCAAGCAGACTCGAGGGAGCTGAGGCCATCATGTGAAGAGGACCTATAGGGTACACCGGAATTTCTAGTGATTCTTGCAGACAAGACAAAGATGAACTCTCTAGACAGCTTGCCGTGTTGATTATTACAGAGGAAGCTGTCGGTTTGTCAATACAGAGCGACAACGAAATGCCGTGGCAATTGTTGTGCTGAAAATAACGGATGGAATGTTAAACTCTTTAGCTGCAGCTTCTGCAAAGTACAGGAACTCGTCGTAGAAGACACATGAGATTTCGTGACTTTCTTGCAGCAACAACTGACTCAGACATTCCTTGAAACCCACCTGACACTCTTTGTTGAGCTTAAGAGCCAACCGAATTTGCTCGAGGTTCTTCAGATCAGACTCAGGTAAGCTTTCTAGAATGGTGATAAACTGAAAATCAGTGAAGTCATCTGGAGTGCTGAAGTAACTGAACTTTGTCTGAGCAACTATGATTGAGAAACCCTTCAAGTGAAGAGCTTTTGCAAGTTGCATCATTGGAGATATATGTCCTTGTGCTGGAATTGGAACCAACACTATACTTGTCGCCTGCTTTTCCTTCTTTTTTATAAAACCTACAAAACAACTAAAAATGGTGTCTCCTCTATTAGTATTACTGAAAGAAGTATCTTTCTCATATAGCTATTAGCTCTGTGTGAGCTGGAAAGGACCACTGATTGTTTATTTGATTAGACTCTTGGTAGCGGCAAAATACTTTATTGTCGTACCAGTTAACAAACCAACCAATAAACTAATATGCTCGTTTACAAAAATTCAGCATAACCTAAATAGTAAATGTAAACGTACCAGCTGTGTTGGCTTCGCTTCAGAGTTCCTCACAATCTTCCTCACCAGCTATGTTGCTGCATCTAGATTTTAGTTCCCTCTCACCAGAACTTTGTTTAATTTTATTGGGCTTGGTGAGTAAAAATCTTTTTTATTCTTATATGACCTGTGTTTTCGGTTTGATTATAAAGTCGACGTTTACATTAAAATTATATTATAATTTTTCTTTTTGTCTCTGTCATATGCTGTTATCTTTTAGAGCTTTAGGTTATGATTTTACAAGTAATTAAACTTGGTTTGAGCACTGTAATTGAGAAATCCTCACATGTGGTTACGATGTATCTTGTTAGAGAGAAACGAAACACAAAGGTAAAGATAAGTCGTACTTCTTGATCCTCTTCTTGTCGTGAAAATTGTCTTGTCTTATGAAACTATTCCATTTTGAGCAAACTGCCAAAAGACACATTCGTATTTGATTTGAATTGCTTTTTATTTGGATAAAGAAGAAAACGAAGTACTTGTTGTGAGCTTGTTCTAAACAATTCAATGATCTTGAATAATACATGAAGTACAGCTTCTCACTCTGTCTTTAAGTACTTGGCGAGCTCATCCAATGCTTTGTATGAGGAGCCTCCACTTCTTACAGAGGCTTTGAGTTTCTCTTTCAAAACAAGGGCTCTTTCCCTCATGCCTGCAACCTCTTCATCCACGGTCAACCTCTTCACGGCTCTCTCCACCCCTCCTCTTTCTACTTCACCTTGAAGCTGAAACCCTATTCTCCAAACACTTTCTATATATATTGCGTTTAACTTCTGCTCGCCATTAAAAGGCCTGCAAATCATTGGAACTCCTTCCACAATGCTTTCAAGCGTTTCCATCCGCAGTGGCTCCAGAATCCTCTCACTGCAGGATGTCCAAGTACTTCATTCTGTGGTGCCCATTTCACAACGTATCCCTTTCCTGACACTATCTTACTGACTTCCTCTGGCAATGACTCAGAGCCATGTCGGATGACCCACAAGAATGGCTGGTTGCTATTAGACAACCCCCAAGCCATCTCCAAAATTTCCTTGGTTTCCATTTGAGCTATGCTTCCCAAGCTTATGTATATGACAGACCTCGGTACCTGCTTGTTTAGCCATTCAATGCAGCTTCTGTCCTGTTCCAGTAAACTAGAATTTGCTGAAGCTGTAATGTGAAGAGGGCCTAATGAAAATACTGGAGTATTGAGTTCTTGTTGCAGCCATGATAGAGAAGAGCTCTCTAGACAACTCGTTGTATTGATAATAACAGCTGAAGCCGTTCTTTTGTTAAATACTTCCCTACATATCTCCAAAAATCGATCCAATGGCCCCATTCCTGAAATTGGTAGGTTTTTGTATCTTAGTGGATGTAAATTTTCAACCTCCTTGTCTTGCACTTCAGGATCTGAAAATTTTAAAGAAAAAAATATAATCTTCTGCTAAGTAAGAGGACGAGTTGCAGCTGCTAATAAGCTAATATTGGGTACCTTCAATGTCAATCAAGAACTTTTCGGCATTGAGTTTGCTTAAAACACAGCCGCAAGCATGATTTGTAGCACTGCCAGTGCTTAATATGACACTTGGGATCTTGAAGGCCTTAGCTGCAGCTTCAGAAAAGTACATGAGCTCATCATAGATGATGTAGGCGATATCATTGCCATTTTGTAGCAATAATTGAGATACGCAATCCTTCAAGCTTGTCTCACTGGTTTTGTTGAGCTTCATCAGAAACTCGACTAGTCCGAGGCTCTCTTGTTCAGACACCGGTACGCTTTCTGGTATGGTTACAAATTGAAAGGCAGGGAAGTGTTGAGAAGAACTTACTTGATTGCATCCTCCTTGAGCAACAGTAATTGAGAAGCCTTTCAAGCTAAGGGCTTGTCCGAGTTGCATCATTGGAGTTATATGCCCTTGTGCTGGAAATGGAACCAGGACTATCCTTCTCTTCTCTTCTCCTTTTTCCATTGCTTTAACCCCTTTTTTTTCTGCCCCTCCGTAGTATCTCAATGCAAACATCCCTTCATAAGTGATCTATATTATTATTAAAATCTCCTTGGCATCAACGAATCCACAGTTGTCTACAGGAGAACATGAACATGTTATATAGTTAAGTGTTGATCAAATGCCAAATTATAAACAAAACAACCTTCCATAAATTGTAGAGTCACGCCCACATTCCACAAAAAGCCAAACTTGTTTGTTTGGTTTGTTTTGGCACACACGGGGTTGGTGAATTTTTGGCACATTATGGCATATTTTCTTTTGACATTAAATAATAAGTAATATAACGGTATAAGTGGCATCATTATTGTTTGTATACAATTATGGTTCGCCCTACAGACAGGAAAATTATAATGAAACCTATTTTATATAAATTTATTTAATTTGACAAAGCATTTTGGAGAAAACATTGTAGATTGAAAACCGTATTATAAATAAATAAATAAATAAATAAATAATGCATAGAATTCGTCAAATTGGTATTTTTTTTAAACATTTTTGATTTTAGTTAAAATGATGGTAATCTTCAATATTTTCTATTTTTTGAGAATACAAAATTAGTAAAAATAATCTAGAAAAGTGTCCATTTGCATGGATGTTTAACAGATAATGAAACTGAATTCTTTATTGGTTTGTTAAATTTCTAAATATTTTGATTCCTTCAGATACTTTTTGTTGAAATAATCATGTTTAAAAACACACATTGGTACCAAAACTCGGTCTAACATAAAATTTCGGATTCTATCCATCCTAACCACCATCACTGATTCATTCCACCCACAATCATTTCATACTTAACTAAAATAATTGGATTAGTTTTTTTTTTTGAAAATAGTTGGATCAACGTTTTTTTAATAAAATAGTTTGATCAGTTTTTCTTTGAAAATCTGAAAGTATTTCACATTTAACCCAAATAATTAATTTAATTAAGAATACTTTTGAGCAAGAGTTAAAAGTTTGGTAATATCAAAGACTTGTTTGTTATTAAAGTTAAGTAAATAAAAAAACTTGCAAACCACAAATTCATTTGAAGGAACACAAAATAAACATAAAATGTTCGATGGAATGTGCATAAAAAAAATGTGTATAAGAGATATGTGTGTCCGCAATTATTTCGTCCACAAGTCTGATATCCACCTTGTGATATTCACGACTCTTTCGAATACATTTTTCTGGTCCTTATCCATAATATTAATATATACATCACACTATCCATATATGAGTCTTTGATAAAAAAAAATCCATATATGAGTGTATTTTTTGCTCGTTTTAGTGTTAACTTGGCTATTGTGATGAATTTATCAGACACAAAGCATTTCATATTCTGAATTTACATATCTTCGTTCATGTTTTCCTTTTATATATATATCTATATATTGTGGTTTCGCGCGGAATATGTCTTTTAATGTAAATTAGTTCTATGGTTGAATAGTAGAATTTTTTTCTCTCTTTTTTTATTCGCGCTAACCCTTGAAGCCACATATACCTTTCTGGCAACTGGTTCACAAACCAACGGTGGTTGCGAGTTAGCCACCCACCCTTTTATTTTTTTTCTTTGCAATAGCCAAGTTAATACTATTTCAAGTCGTTCTTATCGTTCCTTTGCAACCGAGTGTTCTAGATCTAAGGCGCAGAGGTGTTGCGATGATCTCTGGCTATTTTAAAAAATACATACCAAATACATTTTACAATATTATTTTAATTTTAAAAACTGTTAATTAGTTAAAGTTTCGTTTTGTTAGTTTTTTGTATGGTAAATAATTCAGGTGTGTATATTTTCATACATTTCTCTGAAAATATAAATTTCAAACACATGAAACAAATAATCACAGATGATAGCAAACTTTCCCAAAAAACAATTACTTCGTTAAACTATCTTTAATATTAGACATGTTATTTAGTTTATCTTTTACATTTGGGGATATTTTGATTTTTTAACAAAAATAAACCAAATTTACACATCTACTCACTTTTCTAAGTGAATCTCATCTATATATACAAAAGAGGCTTTTCATCCCTCTTGCTAAGCCACGTCAGAAATTAGCTTCATGCCGTCATGCCACGTGTCCTGTACATAAACGATGCGTTTGATTTGCTGAACATGTTATGGGCTTATTGCCTTTTGAGGCCCACAGCTATTCTTGTCCATAGCCGTTCAAAGTGGTAAGTTGTCATGCGTCTCTTTCGTCTACAAAATTAGGGTTCGTTCTGTAACACAATTGTGCTGCAATGGAGTCTTCGGTGATTGCTCTCCTTTTGTCGATCCAGCTCTGCAGAGAGGAAGCTCATAAAACGTCTTAAATGCATTGATGATTGCATTAACTTCTCTACCACGATCTCTAATCACTATCTTTTTATCTTCTGCGAGTCAGTGGAAGAATGGGTATATATAGGTTGGTTTCTCTCTTCTGATAATCATTCACAAACCTCTCTCATCATACTTAATTTGTTTCTAATGTCTTCCTCCAAAGTATCCGACTTGAAGTCCGGCCGGTGTTTTTCCACTTTGAGGTTCGCATGGACAAGAACTTCTACCAACATTATGATTCCAACAGCAATATAAATTTCTTATAGTTTATGTGATAATAAACGTTATGATCCTTTGAGATTCATCATCACAATTTCAATAACAATATTAATTTCTTTCTCAGTATAACGACTTCCTCCTCTATTCCACTTGCTAATTTGGAAGCCAGTGGCTGGCCGTTGTTTTTCATGTGCGGCTGCTCCGATTATGTGAAAATCACAAATCATTGGTTTCCTTTGTGCTACATCACTGTTCTCTTACCTTTTGTAGAGACTTATGTTACATCTCCCACTTCTTCTGGTTTCACTTCTTATGACTGATATTTGTTTTTTTTTTTGGTATTGCTGCAGAGTGAGTGCTCGAGGTCCAGATGATCTCATTAGAGATGGATCTAAATCGGCCTCCTCTGCTGACTGATTTTCTCGATAAAGAGTTACCGTTTGCCGTCATGGAGCCTTGGATAACCAGAGGTATGCTTTTCCTCCATTCCAATTTTTCAGTTTATCTTGCTTTTTGATTAACACTTTATGAATACTGAAAAGAGAATGAGCTAATTACATTAATAGTGATTTTGTTCTAATTTGCTTAAGGTGGTTTTGTTCTAATTTGTTTACGGTGATGTCTTTTTCACTTCAAAAATGTATCTAAGGATGCTAATGTTACTTCAGATCTTACCAAGAAATGCAAAGCACCTGCTATCTTGGATTTAGTGAACTACGGGATGAGATATATGTGATTGCGTCAGATGACATTCTTAAGTTGATCTTTAAGATACAATGCTTGGGTTGCTATAGCAGATCAACGTGTTGGACAAACTCATTGCTCTGGTATCGGTTTTTGTTTCATGTCGTGGAGCATGGTCTTCCTCACTTGCCGTACATTGAGAATCAAGTTGTCACTCCAACAGGTATGAGATGTAACATACGTTATACACTTTCTTAGATATCACTCGAAAAGTATAGTTATTTTATTCAATTGGTTAAAATCAGATTATCTTTTCCAAACCAAGAGTTTGTATACCAGAGTAGATTACTCCAAGAAACTTTGTGGAGTAAAAAATTATGGATTTCCACTTACATGGTTCAAGAGTTTATTATCACATAATTTAACGTGATTCCATACTTTAAGTATATTTGGACTGCTGGTGTTGGTGCCCATGACTAAGAATAGTGGCATTAGCTTATGACAAGATGTTTATGTTTGTGTTACTCCTACATCTGTACCCTCAAGAGCTGTTCGCCCTTCTCTTTGTTGTTGCTCTGAATAAACCAAGTATACTTAAGTTTGTTACACATGCTTTTAAAAGGGTCTAAACTAAGGTAAATTTAATCTAATCCGGTGGAAAAAGAGGTTCTATGAAGATCTCAAAATACCAATGATTACAATAGTTGATATAATGGAACGTTATTTTGACATCGTATATTATTGGGTCAGACCCAAAACGTTTTGGGATTTTAAAGACTGATTATTTGATTTTCTACTAAATTCACAAAAGTATGAATACAACCGAATTTTTTGTTTACCCAACCTTAATATTGATTAGCAGCACTTACAAACCACCATCAAAAGGTGAAGCATGGGAGTCACAAAGTTCAACACCAAATGATCGATTCATGTATCAAACTATTATGTATAACAAATTAATCGCCATAAATTACGCACCAACATGGATGAAGTCCTTTATAAAAAAACATGGATGAAATCTTTTAGCAAAGAAAGAAAGAAAAACATGGATGAAGTCGACAAGTGCTGGAAGAGAACTAGATGGTATTCACATGATTAGGACCTGCCCAGGAGGAATAATATGAATGCAATATGTTGCAAATCATACCCCCAAAAAAGAGAGCAAACAAAAGTAACGGTTGTTTTTATGGCTCAAAACCAAGAGTTGTCATAACTAGCTCTTTTATTACGTCTTTCTTAAAAACTCTTTAACACTTCTAACAGCCATTAATTTTTCAGAATGTGTGACATATAACAATCTTTCTACATTCTTCTCAATTATTTTTGCTAATTGTATTCTCTGCAAATTAGAGAATAAAGAAGGTTTCTGTCAGTTTAATTTACACCAAAATGTTTATTAAAAATAACATTGTGATCTCATAATATTATTCATTATTTATCTGTTTATAATACTTTTTTCAATCTACAAAAGAAATTAATGGTTCATAAAGTTAATATAAAATAACTATAGAATAAAAATTAATATAAAATTTAATATATTAGTTTTTATTATAACTTCCCACCCGTAGGGCGGGCCAACCCTAGTTTCTTAGAGTATCTCCAATGTAATACTCCTTTTTTTCCTCCAAATGGAGTAAAAATGAATATGGAGTAGAAATGCTTCATCTCTACTCCATATCCCACTCCATAATGGAGTAGTGAACAAAACAAAAATAGATTACTCTATTTATGGAGATTATGGAGTGGGAACTGGAGTTGGGTTGGAGTGTTTTCTACTCCATACTTCCTTTTACTCCATTTTAGA